TCTCACAGCTGGTCCTGGTTTGAAATAGTGAGATTTGATGCTAGAACTACTTACTAGTCTCCTTTGAAACCCGAACTTGCACGCACAACTTGAAGATCTTAAGTTGCCACAGAGGCCTCAGTGGTCCTCATCTGACTTGTAGCTTCACAGACCAGTAACTGCTCTTTTAAATTGGGGAGATAGACATAAAGTACCAATATTTTACCTGCCAGTTCAAATCTGATAGGGTTTTTGCATTATATATAACAGAACACTATAAATCAGGAAGAAAAATAACCAAGAAAAATGAACATGAATAGGCAACTCAAAAAAGCTCAAATAGTGGCAGGAAACAGAACAGTAAGTAATGATTTCTCACCTATTAGCATGCAAAAATTATAGCATGACAGTACTAAGTGTAGGTGAGAATGTAGAGAATTTTCATATGTTGCTGATGAGAGCAAGTGCAACTATGTGACTTCATTGAATTTATAGTATGAATAAGTGTTCATAATGAAAAACTGGGAATAAACCCAATGTCATGAAAATGGATTAATAAATTTGATATGTTCTTAAAATATGGTAATTATAATAAATTAGCTATAGCTATTATGTAAATATGAAGATATTAGAAACAATAGTGTCATTTATACTTTCTTACTATTAAAATCTAGTGTTTATGGGTGTATCTATGTAATGAGTTTAGCAAGTGGATCTACACACTAAGAGTGAGCAAGGACAACTCTGGACTTCAACTTTTCTGTAGTGATTTCTACTAAATATGTGAAGTATAACCATGTTAACACTTGTTCATTTTGGATGATGGGTAACAAGGTTTATTATCTATTTTTTCTGTAACCTTTTAAATAAAGAAAACCTTTTAAAAAGAGTTTTTAACACCTCCTTGCTTCCTGGCAGTTCCTACAGTTGGTCCTGGGTCTCCATTAGTAATGCCTTCCATATATTAGCCCTTCAACTTCTCCAGTCTGTTCAGTTTTTGTTGTTGTTCAACTTTTTTCAATGACATAGTTTGATGTCCTTTCCCCTCTGGTTGATCTCTTCTGAATATCTATTTTCCAATCAACATCCTTGTTAACTGTGGTGGTACAAAACTGAGCCACAGTCAACATGTGCTTTTCTCAAAGCACAAAACCTCAGGATGGCTGCCCAGGTACCAGTCTTCTGACAATTGTCCCAGAGTGCTTCCCAGTGAGTAATCTTCCATAACAATCAGCACTTTTTAGGAACCATGAAAAACAAGGATATCTTCACTTAATATCCAGCTCATGGCTTCTGTGAGGCTTCACAGATAAGTGCCTGGAATGGTGACTGGCCACATATGCAAATGAGCATGGATACTGATATTCTAATAAGATGCTTTGGTATGAGATGCAATTTGGACCCCTTCAAAATTTAAAAGGTGCTTCCAAATAATTAACCAAACACTTCTAGTTAAGAGATGAGAAAAGCAAAACAAAAGGAAGGAGTTAAGTGAATTGCCTAGGACAGATCTGATTCCACCTCTTCTGAATTTCATTGCATCACTCAGAGACAAGGCTACAGGACAGAGGCAGGGTATTTCCATTGTTTTGGTTGGTTCGCCTTGTTTCACCCTCCATTTTACAAAGGTTCAAAGGTTTACAGGGTATCAAGTAAAAACAAAGAGAGGAACAGAACTAAGGGATGGAGGAGGAGTCAAAGACACTGGGAATGCTGTTAAAGCCATGAATATTTTGAATTTTCCAGTTTCTAGTTTCCCACTGTCACAGGCACCATGGCAGATGTCAAAGTTTAAATTGCCAATTTTTGGTCCTAAAGGATTCAAGGAACAAACAGCAAAATACCTACCAGGTTTTAGTTTGGCCTTTTCCATGTCTCTGAGCCGTAGCCGTTCCTGGTGAATCTGTGTTCCTGTCATGAGCTGGTATTCCGGGGGCTCTGTGCTGGCGTTCCTCCTCACCAGCCTCAGGTCTCGCTCTTCCATGAGTCTAATCGCATCTGCTCGGTGCATGTTTCCCAAATCATTGCCCTTCTCATCAAGGACACGAATAATTCGCTCACCAATTTTCCTTCCAATATTACTGAAAGTAGTATCATTCTTTTTTTTCGTTTTCCTCTCATCCTGGCTGTCCTCAACTGTACTAAATCTTTTTGCATGAATTAGGTAGGGCAGTCTTGGGGCAGAAGCAACCAGGGACAACTGTGCTGGGACTGTCTTTTGTACAATGTGTTTATCAAAACACCTTCTAATGCAATTATTTTCAGTCCTTAAGGTTTGTAGCATTAACCTCTTCAGAAGAGCAGCCATCCTAAGAAAGTAATAAGAAAAGTTCATTAAGATTCAATCATTTTCCAGGAAATTATGGTACACACCTGTAGTTCCAGGTACAAGGAAGACTGAGGCAAGGAGGATTACAAGTTCAAGGCCAGTCTTGGCAACTCAGTGAGACCCTGTTTCAAAATAAAAAAGGGATGGGGATCAAGTTCAGTGGTAGAACCCTTACCTAACATACACAAGGCCCTGGGTTCAAATTTCAATACCACCCCAAAAATTAACATTAATCATTCCCATAGTCTGCTATGTGATATATATTGGGCCACAGGCTGCCTTCTGTAAGTGTTATGGAAATGCTGTTCTCAGGATGACTAAATCCATGCGTAGAAGTTTGCACCAGTAAGATGGACCATTGGGTAACCCCAGCCCGATTAATTCATGGTGGTACTGTTCCTAGAACAAATAGTTATCAGAACAACCCAGGACTGCACATTTTTATCTCCTATGCTCACCTATACTCATTTAACTATTTTTGCCAGGAACTTATAGTGTCAACACTAAGAGCAAAGATCATACTGAGGGCTTATTTATGAGGATGAAGTATATAAAATGCCTGCTGATTTATAAATACCAGTTCATAAACTGCTAACCATTTATCTGTATATCTGATGGTATATAAAAGTTAAGAAAAGTATTATAGGAAGGGGAACCCTTCAAGAAGAATACTGACCTACTGGAAGAACAGACTGTCAGAAAAAATACTCTCTGACATAAATTGAAGTGCTAGCCTCACAACCTATAAAGATCACTACCCAGGTAAGGTAGGCATTACTAGCAAGTGTTAACTAACTAAGCATTAGGCATATATGACATTGGATTTACTTTATAGTGTAAGACTGAATTTGAAATGCTTTAAAATGACACATTGATTTTATGTTTCTCTGCTATCAAAATGCCTCTCTCATTCACAGGTTTGGTAAATCTTAGACACACAGGCTAAAGGAGTGACAGGAGGACCCATTCATCTTATTTAGGGTCTACTGAGAAACCATAAAGAAACAAGAATTCAGAGAGGTATGACTTATGAAAAATCAAAAAGGACAGGAGGAAGTGCCTCCTCCCAAAGAATGCTCACTGCACAGCCTACATGAGAATCGCTGATGGTATATAAAACTGTAAACTCCCTCGGGCTCTGGTTATGATCCATGTCCTATCCCAGCATGATCCCTTACTCCTCATGTTGATGAATGACCTGGAAAAAGAAATGGCTCTGGTTTTGTTCTTCATAAGAAGCACAAATTGCTCTCCATAATGAGGCTGAGCTGTTTAAGAGCTAGAACTCCAACTTACAACACTGGAAAAAGTCCCCATATATCTTTGGCCAATTATTTAACCATTTTTTAGCTATTAAATTGAAACGACTTAATAACCATTCAGAAAATATTTAAGAACCCTGTAAACTCAGAAGAGTCAGCACTAAAACTTGAACTTATTCCTGTTTGTTAATCTTCAAAATGGCCATATCCTCTTCCCGAATTCCCTAGTTCAGAGACCTGCATACCTAGCCCTTTGGAGGCAAATGACATCTCCACTCTCCCTTTCAATCCAATCCATTACCAAGTCTCAGCAACTTTACCTTCCTAAGTCTCACTCAGATTTATCCACTTTTTCCTACATTCACTGCCACCACTCTTGCTTATGATTATCCATCTTGGGCTGGGGATGTGTCTCAAGGGGTAACAAGTGCGGGGCTCTAGGTTCGATCCTCAGCACCACATAAAAATAAAATAAAAAGATGTTGTGTCCACCGAAAACTGAAAAATAAACATTAAAAATATTATCTCTCTTTTCTCTCTCTTTAAAAAAAAAAGATTGTCCATCTCTTATTGGTCCCTGCAACCAATTTTAGTCACCATACTGCTGTCCAAACCACACCAGCCCTTCTCCCCACCCCCGTTTAAAACTAACTGGCTGGAGATTAAAGATATCAATCTTCAGTAGGCCAAAAGAAGCTTCTCACTTTTTTCTGCCTAAACCACATGGCCTTTTCACTTTTTAAAGTACTCTTTCCTTCAATATAGGAAACTAAGGGAAATATGTCAGAGGCCAATTAATGCCTCTGCTCTTTCTCAGGGCATTATTTCTATTACCTCCACAAGTAAGCCAGAAATTTCACCTTCTTTCTCCCATTTGTCTGTTGGGCTCAACATAAAATATTTCCACAGTCCGACTTATTCTTCCCTTATAGCGCTTATTACAATTATAACTTTGCAATTATCTTAATACTATTGCGCTCCCTCACTAGACCATAAACTCTGAAGCAGGGAACAAATGTGGTTTATTCATTAACGATGAGACTGGCACCATAGTTGATCTTCCATAATCTCTCATCCACCCTCTGTATTTTTCTTAGACTGACATCTTCTGTAAATTCTGTACTTGGAATTGTGGCTTCTCAGTAAGAAAACTTACTTTACGTCTCGTGAGAGTCTTAAACCATGGCACCTACTAAGCGATAAATGGGAGGGGGGACCCCACAGTCACTTCATGAACTTCCTACTAAGACCTCCCCCGGCGACAGCAGGCAGCAAAAGAAATGTATTTGCTTAGCTCAACCTTGCTAAACGCAAGCGCTCTCCGCTAGTCTGGATCAGCCCAGCTGCGATCAAGCTCTAGCCCAGGAAGCGAGCGCTTCCGGGCGGAGCTGACTTAGTCACGTGCCCAGCGCTTGCCACGCCCACCCGGCAGAGTGCTCGCGACGCGCCAGGACGAGAAAGGACGTGGGGACGTGCTGCGTGCGTGCGTGCGTGCGTGCGTGCAGGCGGGGTAGAAATGGCAGGGTGGAACCGACAGCACCCAGTAGGACGGTTGCCGGGTCTAGGTCGGTGGTTACTGGGAAGCTTGGGCTGTGACCTGGACCTGAAAGCTTAGGCTTTGTAATCTCACAAAACCCCCGGCCTCCCACTCGGTGCTCGCCACCCTCCGCCCGGCAGGACGTTAAGCCTGACCTTCCTTGTTCTCGGGCCAATGCAAGGCCGCTGGCTCTGCACGCACATCCCCGAAGACCACGTCCTCCCTCCACAGGTCCCCCCACCGCTCGGCCCCCTTTACCTTTAGCATTACCTGTAACTGGGGTCGGCGATTGGTAATGTCTGACAAAAAGAGCCAGTTAACGAGCTCGGCGTCAGGACCCTTTCGCTTTCCGTAGTGGGCAGGGCTTCTCTTGTCCTTTAAAGGAAAGGTGACTTGGGAAAATTTTCCCCGACAGAAAATGCTGAGGGCATGGGTAACTAATTGCAGGGAGATTGCTACTGTTCTCCCGCTCCAGATGCGAGATGAAGATCAGGCACATCGAGGTTTTGCAGCAGTAGCTGATCACTTTCACTAGTTACATTACTTTAATGCCAATGTTTTTATTTAGTGAGATATTTAATACAATGTTTTGTAAACGTCTCACAATCTTTGTGAGTTAAGAAACATTGTCCTCGATTTACAGGTGAAAGACAGACTCAAGAAGTAAAAACATTCTCTTAATTCCCAGATTACACCGGGCAAGCTGGAACCCCGCCTCCGACCACCACTTGCAGTTTCTGGGTTCCTAACTGAGGCTTCCCGAAGAAACCGGTGATGGATAAAGAGCAAGTCAGATTAAAGTGCTGTTCGAAGTGCGAGTTGTTCTAAGCGGTCGTCAACGCAGCGTGTTTAATTGACTTGCCCAGAGTCGGCGAAGAGCCAGTCCGGAACCCTGCTGTTGTGTGAACCCTGTGGTTTCTCTCCGGTCTGTGGGGGCCTACCCTGTGCTGCCAGGCTTCTGGCTCCGTTTTAGTGTTGGTGTTAATCACCTTCCCCTCTGATCATTAGTAAAAAAAAAAAAAAAAAAATTGAGGGTCAGAGTGAGAATCTGCACGCTGGGCTTAATGAAGCCAACTTAATCTCGTTCCATTCCTCCTATAAAGTTGAACTATCGTTTACTGACTACTTATAGTCTGCTGGAATACCTTGTCTTTTAATGATCATTAAATAATTCTTTGAATCAAGTATTACCTCTTGTAAGTGAGGAATCTAGGTCAGCCTTAAATAGCCAAATGAGAGCAAAGACTATGTCTCCTGTTCTTCATCAAATAACAGCATCTGGCACTTTAGGCACTGATAATTTGTGACATAAACCTTGAGGCAACTCGTGTGTGACCAAGTTGAGGGTTAGTGGCTGCATGTTCGCCGCCATTTCCAAGTTAGGGATTCATTTTATTCTACTGAAATTATTCCTTAGTACTAAGACATTTTTTTAAAAAAAGTATATGTAGACATAGAGTGAATAGGGCAATGCCTTGGGAAGTAGTAGGTGCTCTACATCAGTAAATGCCCACATTTATGATAACATTTACTTACCAGCCAGTCACTGTTCTAAACACTTGACATTATGTCAAATTAATTTAATCCTCAGGGCAACAGCATGAGCTAATTACTATTACTACTCATTTCACAGATAACTGAAACGTGAAGAAATTAAGTAATTTGCCCAAGTTTACACAATCAGTAGAAGAATCAAACATTTTTTAAAAAGAAAAAACTCAGTGGGGCTGCAGTTGTGGCTCACTTGACTTAGCATGTGTGAGGCACTGACTGCAATCCTCAGCACCACATCAAATAAATAAAGGTTTAAAAAAAAGTTAGAAAAAACTTAAATAGCTGTGTGCTCTTAACCCTAAATACTCCTTATGCTGCTGCACTAGAGTAGTGATTGAAGTGTGGACTTAAAAGTCCTCCTGTTTGGAGCCCCTCTTTGAAGGGTCACCTGTCTAGATTGATTTGGGCAGCTTTCTGCTGTTAGGTGTATCCAACACCTATAAGACGGTTGTTTAGTTCTCCTGGGAGGGCATAGCAGAAAAGAGATGGTTATTACAGACATGCTCTCAAGTGGAGAGAACCCTTTTTTTTTTCTTGAACTCTTTTAACCTTTAGTTGAAATGAGATGTGGAGGCCTTTAAAGAGTCATTGAGAGCCTTGGACTCAGCTTGGTGGTGGCAGATTTTGAAGACCTTTGAATAAAGAGTGCATAAAGCAATCACTGGCTCCTCCAAGCCCCCTTCCTACATTTGTGGTCTCTACTTGCTAAGGCACACTTTCTGGGTTGGGGAAGTGATTACTATGCCACAAATCTGTAAACTGATCCATTGTGTGCATAAAAAAGGACTGGGACATCCATAGAGCTTTCCCAGTTGTCATTATTTCTGTCCCTAATTTACAAATAAAACCCAAGTAACCCAATAAGACTCATCCTTGCAACTAAAAAGACATTTTCTATCAATAGTAAATCCCATGGCAATTCCATGGATTTTTCTCAATGGTTATATTCCTGTTTTGCTCTGGCAAAGGATTAATGAAAATATTCTGTCCCACTCCTTGCTTATTAGCTTTCACAATCCTTCTCTTTCCACTGACACCAGGAGACATGTAAGATTCAGTTCTTATCCCAAGGTCCTTGAGATAATATCAATCTTGCAGAGAAATTATTCTGTGGTGGCTTCTCTAAAAATTTATTAACACTAGGCCATGATGCTACAATGATCAAAAGAATTAATTTTAAAAGCAAATCTTTTAAAAATCTAGTAAAAATCCTGAGATAGTTTTTGTTTTTTTGTTTTTTTGAAGTTACATAGATGCTACCAAGCTTGTGTGGGTTTATACATTCAGTGTGTTCCTTAACAAGTAGTTGTTCTGGGACTACAGTTACTTTATATACTCCCCCATATGATTATAAGCTTTTATTAGTGCAGTTTTGTTGAATAGGGGAATTGAAGTCTGTTGTGTGTGAGATCCTCTACAGTGTCAACTAAATCTTGCTGAGATTCATTGTCGTAAATGGCAGCCAACTCTGCTGTGACAGTGCCAGTTTAATCACTGAGAGGATCCATGTTTGCTGTAGCTTTTGTTTACCAACTCATAAAAGGACATAGAAAGCAAGAAATGGGATCAGGGGCTTTAACTCAGTATTAGGAAACGAAATGAAAATCTCCTGAAGATATTCTCAGCCTGATATCATGTTGTTTATTATCATAAACTATTGTCTGGAAACCTTCATAAGGAATCTCTATCATTCACCTTCTGCAGGACTGTGGTTAATCTGCTTAAAACATGTAAACAGCCATATAATTAAAAAAAGAACAACAACAAAAACAAACCCCAGAAACCTCCAGGCAAGGGTATTTTAGCTTCTTGTTTCAATGTTTATAAGATTCAGGAATCTTTTCCTGTGTGTAACCTAAATTCATTTCATTCCTACTGTGGCTGGTTTCCCAGTAGAGCTGGAGAACATCTGGTGGCCACATCTGTGTTATAACCCTTTGTGTGCTTCCAAACTATTATTAGATTCAGAATAAATTTCTCTGTCATGTGTAAGATTTCCCATAACATTACACATCAGATTAATCATTTATCTTGTGAAGAAATGATGAAACCAATTATTAAAAAACAGTAGTGGTTGTGATTGAGCAAAAGGAATATGTCTAAAATGAGTGACATATTACAATGAATATTTTTAAAAGCTTTCGTATCTGTTAAAAAATGTTTATATATGGAAGTTTCATTTATGTGAAAACTCTTAGTGCAAATGATTGAGAAGAAAAACAGCAGAGCCATGTATTTCTGTTTCAAAAGTATTGAGTTTGGGGGTGATTCTGTTACCTTTGGTCATTTTTGAAATATTTAATGAAAATAATTCTCATTGCTTTTGTAGGATGTCATGTAGAACTAAAGAGATAGTATATGAAACCTTGCAAAATGTTCAGTGTTAACTACCTATGGAAATCAAAGCAAAACAGAACCAAGTTATTCATTAGAATTTTACATTTAAAATAGAACTGAATACTATTTTTAAGTGCACATCTGAGATCTTCTAGTTTATAGCAACTTGAAGAAAGCAGGACTGATGGAAGATACAACGTGGGTGATAGAACAAAGTTGTACTGTCACTATTTCCCACCTTTGAGGCAAACAAAATTAAAGGCAAATAATTCCATTTGGGATAGTTCCTCCAGTGTGGAGTTTTATATGTTTACTGTACGGGAAGACTTTCCACTGTCTTTGGGAGTCATTGTTTTGCTGCTTTTCCCCTGAAAGTTGCTGGGTTCTGCTGCAAAGATTTTAAAGGATGCTTTGTTGGCAGGCAAGCTAGGACGCATCCATGACCTTATCAAAGTGGAAATGAAAGCTCTCAGTTTTTCTTCTTTCTTTCTGTCCTCTTTTTTCCCCCCTTTTGCAACAGTAAATCTACTAATTTTACAGTCAGTTGAACAGCAATGGATTAATTTGTGTAAAGTCTGCATTCACAAAGGAAACCTGAACTTCATTGGCTTGAATGCCTGAAACTGCAGTGTGATATTTGAAGGGTAGACACTCTTACAACTTGCTCTAGAAGGATGCAGGCAGGCCACTGTCACCTGCTTCTCAGCACAGGTGCTGACCCCTCGGTCGATGCAGGGCCTCCTGACAGGGTAGCAGGAAGGCTGGGTCTTTGTGTGCTACAGAGAACGCTTTTCCAATGACAAGGCCAGTTTTCTCCAGCAGCCTCAGGAAGCAGAAGAAAGGAGAGGTGAAGGTCACCACTAGGGTCATGATGGGTTAAATTTAGTTAACATCAGAGGTTATAGCTTTTAACAAGAGCTTCAAGAAAACTTATTCGAAGATGCAATTTGTTTCTTCTTTGTCCACTATTATTTTTTTTAACCCTATTGATGTGACAGCTTAACAAAGTTTTTACATGCTGGAGGTTTTCATCCTTTAAAGAATAAAGAACTGTGTTCCTAAAAGAGATGCAGGTGGAGGGCTTTATAAAGCTTCCATGATTTTCAAATTGGGAGCTTTAAAATAGGCTCCCTGCTTGGCTAAGTCAAAAATAATCTGTGAGGGATGTTGAAAAAAATCCCCATTAGAAATGGAGGAACGCTTCAGCAATCAGATGCAGAGGCTCAAACTTCTAGAAGATTCTTTGTATTTTTCTCTCAGCTGTCCTAGCATAGATTTCCCAGTTGTTCAAAATTACCAAAGAGGCCTTCTCTTAGTTTCCCTGGATGTAGGTGTCTAAATTTAGAGCATTATTCTGGGCAGAACAACTTGTTTATTTCTATGTAAACAAAAAAGATGGTTATAGATTTCTGGATATATCCTTTATGCTTTCTCTATAATTCAGTTACTCAACATTTTCTGTTGAAGGATTGATATGTTATGAAAACGGTTCTCTCAAAAGAGAGTCATGTACACTCCAGCCTTTCAATTGGAAATGTATAGTTACCTAGGACTCAGGCTGAGTGTTCTTCCTCACACTAAGGCCTTATGTGTTATTTAGATGTACTTCTCTTATAAACAAGAGGCTTGGCTTTTTAAATGAGTTTTACATGTTCATTTAGGTTATGTGTTAGCATGCTGAACTTGGGATTTTGAGACATGCTGTCTACCCACTGGTCAACAAGGTAAATGTGTTGTACACAACTGAGTGCCAAACTATACTATGTGTTTGAAAATATCTTTGTTTCAGGTAGGGTGATAATCATTTAATTATTATTTGGGAAATTATATCTCTTGTATAAAAGATTTTCTAGACAGCTAAGCATATTTCTTGAATTAATACAAAACTTTCTTATTCTTATCAGTTTGAATAAAAGTATTTTATCTAATAAATTATGAGAATTTTCTCACTTTCTGAAATATGGCATAATTTTTTAAAGAACTGGTATAATTACTATTGTACATTATTATATGGTGGTATATAATACAGTCAAATTTGTATTAAATGCCAGTATACTACATGGCTCAAGCCGTCATGAGTTTTTGAGTTTGTAATCCTACTCCTTATCGGTTTTCTTACTCTTACGATTATAGTGGAAGTTACCTCTTCTTGCTGCTCTAATTGCCTAGCTAGTCTTAATATTCCTCCCTTTCTGAAGTTCTACTCAATGTCAAATTCAGTCTCATCTGGTCTAATGCAGGCATCACCTGAGGGATCTCTAGGTCTTCATTTCATCTTATTCCAAATCAGCCCACACAC